CCTTCTAAGCTTAAGTTAAGCACTCCCAGGGAAAGGGAAATCCAGCGCCTCTGAGGTTTGGGGGAGTTTTGTCACTGGCATTGCTGCACCAGGACATCAGTGGAGTTAAGAGAAGCCCTCAGTGCTTTGCAGGTTTCATTTTTTGCCTGCCCTTGGGACAACATATCACATCATTATGTACTTAGCTTTAAACCCACAAATCATATAACCATAGAATGGTTTGGGTTGGAAGGGACCGTAGACATCACCCAGTTCCACACCCCCCCCGCCCCCCACCATAGGCAGGGACACCAGTAGATGTCCAACCACAAACTTCTGTTTGAAATGCTGCGAGGCACTTTTTTTTTTGGTCAGGGCAGGACAGTGCAACACATCAGCAGACAGGTCTCTGATGCAGGGCCAGGTGGGATGGCCTGGTGGTCCCTGGAACAGGAGGCTGGGAACAAGGGGGACAGCAACCCCCAAAACAAACAGCCACCTCTTGTCACACCACCAGACACTTGCCCGCGTGTGCCCAGAGCTAAACCAAGTGCCGTATTTGGGCCAGAGCAGATATTCCCACCTCCCTACTCCTGGGTGCACTGAGGCACTTTGAGGGTGACTGGGACGTGGGGGAGGACTGCTGCCGGAGAGGCACTGGCATTCACAACACAGGTCATACCCACATGGAGCTCTGCCTTCCTTTTATCTTCTAGACTGCAAGTGAATAACCATTTAAGCACATTTGTTATTTAAATAAGGCCAAAAAAGGAACATAATTATTATGAAAACCACTGCACTGTGAAACCTGTAACATTTAAATCCAACTGTTGACCTTAAAAAGTTTCAGCTCATTACCATTCCAGGAGGTAAAAAGGGGCAAGTGACTACTGCAGAGGGCAGCTGTGGTGACACCTAATTCTGTGTTGTAATAAGCTCCTCGATAAACCTCTGCAATACATTTTGTTAACATCTACCTGCTGTCCTCCCTTGACATTATCTCCTTCATCACTTGACTCCTCTCTGAGCATCTGAAGAGACTGTCTGACTTTAATCAAAGAAATATTTCATAACATTTCCAGGCCTCAGAGGATGTCAGAGTTCTTTCAGCTCTCCTAATGTCTTTGAAGAGCTGATGTGCTCCTGGGACCAGCCTCCAGCTCACGGCCCTCAGGAATGCTGGGAAAACTCCCTTTGGTAACTAGTTGTCACGTTCAACCCACACATCAGCATTGCCCAAGCCAGTGTTGGCCATGCTAGAACCTCCTTCCAGAACCAGGACCAGCTGAGACCCATCACCACTGGGCCACCTGGGACAGGGAAAGCAACACTTTCTGCTCTGGATCAGGGTGAAACAGATGAGAAACGCTGATGTGACTTGGCTAAAAGCAGTTGGCCAAAAGGAATACCTTGCAGCAGGAATACTTGAAGGCTGATAGCAAAGTCTGACTCTTCTCTCAGACATCCCAGATGCTGCACCGTAGAACTGGTGAAAGAGGGAATCTGACTTCTTCATTTATGCAGCAGGCAAGAAATGATATTAATCAGCCCTGGCAGTCGCTGCCTAACACTGCCTCTGCTGGGGAAGCAGAATTAAGCAGCAGAGCTCTGGGGGAAATCACAGGGCCCGAGAAAAATAGATCACTTTCTAGTGAAGTCCACATTTGACTGTTTAAGTCTACTCGGTGCATTCAAGCCCTAGGTTAGAACAGCGCTTAACCCCATGCCCAGCTCAGAGCCAGCAATTAATTTGGAGGCAGCACCTCTGAGCTCTCCCCAGTCAGAACAAGAGTACATTGAGTAGTTGCACACTACTGCAGGCCTGATCCCTAATTTGTCACACAAGGTCAAGACCGGGCAACAGTTGGGACTGTTTCAAACAGTGCTTGCGTTTCTCGCCAGCACGTTGTGTATCTTTCCAGAAAGCGTACCTACCACGGCTGTGCAGAGCAAGAGCGTAACAGATGCGGTCCTCCTACTTCTACACGAATGCAACCCGCAGCAATCAGAAATAACAGGCAGCCTAAAGCAGTGAGTTAGTCACTGCACAGACACGCAGCAGAGGCTGTCCCTGCCCTCTGTCACCAGTGGCACACCAACACCGTGTGGCACTGCATTGGTGAGCCATCTGGGCTAGCTCCAGTCCCACAGCCCACCTGGGAACTGGTGCACTGCTGCACCCAAACACAGTGTCCCAGTACTGAAGCCAGCTCAGAGGCCTCGATGCAAAACTGTGTCCTGCAGGGCCATTCTGAAAACCAGTCCCCAGTGGGAAATGCAACTTTCTGGGAAGTGTCCCAGAGGGGAGAGAGCACACCGGGGGACCCCTGCAAAACACAATGCAGTCTTAATAACCGGTATGCAGGTTTCTCAGCAGTATGTAATGCCAAGCAAAAGTAAAATAACAACCCAAGTTTCACAGTTGATTTGTTTCCTTAAGTTTTCTTAGCTTGAAAATATATCACTCAGTGTTGCCACTTACTCATGGTAACTATCAGCATAGCACCCTCCCACATGACCTCCCAGAGCCACCCTCTGCCCGTGGCATGCCAGCTGTGGGCAGAAGCAGGGACAAGCAAGTTCCCCTCTAGGCCAAAGGAAGAGGAAGAAGACAGGAAACAGCAAAAACAATGACTGGTGGGAGCAAGGAACAAAGGAGTATCAAACAAAGCAGAACCAGAGAACAGGCACCAGTCCTACTGAATATCAAACACATGCGATCGCTGCCTGCGGGCTACACTTCAGTGTATGGGAACCTCCACGCCAACTGCAAGAGCCGTGATTAGTCCCTCTCACTCTGACGGTGTGGGGAAGCCCCACTCTGGGCAAGGGCAGGGAGGAGACAGTTGTCTGGAGGTGGGAAATGAACAGTTTGGTGCACTGTAAATGCTTTAAGATTAGAGGGGTAGCCTGGTCCCACAATGAAGCCAAGGAATGGATCACATTTCCATCTCTCCCTACAGCATCAACCAGTTTACTTCACTCTTTGGACTCAGTTTCCAATTCCCATCTTGGACTTTGTTGCTTAAATCAAGGCTTGGAGTGACAAATACCTTCCCCTGCGTGCCTGCACACCCCGAGCACTGTTCAGTGAGTTGCTCCCATGATAGAAACTGCACAGTGTTTTGTCAGTGTTAGTCCTTCCCTTTCCAGCACCGTGTCTCCAATGGCCAACAGCCTGACCACAGATGTCAACAAGGAGAAAGGAAGGCTCCTCCTGCATAAACTCACCAGCTGCCACAATACCAGAAGAGCCAAACCACACATGTCTGGGAAGTCAAACACTTTCCAGCTACGTAGTATTTACTGAACACATGCAAATCAACTCCTGAACATGCCCAAGAAGGCTCATCTGCCATGGACATCTCTCCACATGGCCCAAAGAAAAGAAATAGCTAGGACAGGGCTGCAGCTACATGCACAACATGCGCAGCTGAGGAATGAGATCTTCCTCCCCAAGGGCTCCTTGAAGCAGCAAGGGAGGGAGCAAGGCACAGGCCAGATGCCTTGTGGTGGCAGCAAGCTCCTCTTACCACTGTTGTTCCCCTCAGATTTTCTCCATTAGATGATGCAGGGGAAATGGCAGTGCCCAGGAGAAGTAGTGACTGGGAGCAGACTGCCAGCACAGCAGTCCTTAACCTGCAAGCCTGAGGCAGGCAGGAGTAGGCCCAGGGCACACAGCTGTCCTCCAAGTCCCCACGATTCACGATGGGCATGTCAGTTTAGATGCCGTTAGTTACAGCAGGAACGACCTGCCTATACCATAGATCTTTCTACAACTACAGGTCATGAATCAACTAAAAGGGCAATGAGGGCACAGCCTAGCAGTACTGGTTTCCAGAGGCACCAATAGCCACTCACCCTGAAAAAGCCAGTCCACTACATTTTAATTCTGGAAATGCATTGCAAGTGGCATGCTGCTTTGAGAGCACAAGAGCTGTGTTAAATAAATTGTGCTAGTCATTGCATGCAACGACAGCCATGGCTGCAGTGAGTCAGCCAGGTAGCCCAGCATCAGCCCCTCTACTCCAGTTCTTTGCTCTTCTGAAGTACAATAAATAAAACTTGTTCCACTGCCAACATTTAAGGGTTGAAACTACCCTGCAGGAAATTCCCACCAATATTGCCTTCACTTTAATCTTTTTCCTGGTTTTTGTTTGGGTTTTTTTGTTTTATTTTGTTTTTCTCCGGGGGCATCTGAACTGTCACCCCACACCATGAGCCCTGGTGCTACAGGGACAGTGCCCTGTGCTCACAGGAAGGCAGGTGTTTAGCAGAGCTGGTCAGAGTGTTCCAGCTGGGCAACCTCACACCTCAGAGGAGCTTTCAAACACCACCACAATGAAGAGCTAGGGAAATCTGGGGAGTGACAGCATGAATTGTGGGTGCTTGAGGGTCAAGGAAGACAAAAAGGGCTGTGGTATCCCCACTGGCTTTCCAGCTCCCCTTGAGGAAATCATTATTACCATGACCGAGAGAGTAAATTCCAAACAGAGAGATCTGTGACCCGTGAGAGACACCAAAACAGGCAGGACCAAACTTCAGTCAATGTTTTGACTCTTCAGCTAAACTGCTTCGCATGTCTTTCATTCCCTCCTCCCTGACCCACAGTTTTATACAGCAAACAGCTTTACCTTTCCTGCCCAGAGCATTCCAATTAGCTGTGGGCTACAGGAAGGCCACTACAGCTACACCAGCATAAACTGGTGTAAGAGAAGGGAGAATTAGGCCCTTTATCTTTAAAAGCTATACTCTGGCCTACTGACTTCCATAGCCAATAGTTTCCCACTTAATGCTCTTCACTGTGATTCACAAAAGTAAAATAAACACTTGCAGAAATACTATCTGAGTTTGGCTGTTATTTTAACTTACACACACAGTGCTAGTGACTGTAATTAACTCAATAAACAAACCTTTATTCTGCTATTTTAAAAGAGGTAATAGCTGTAGCTTGCATTAAAAATAGTTTCCACACTATAAAAAACCAAACAAAACAGAGATAGTGGAGGAAAGACCACAGGCTACAACTTTTCTAGAACCACACACCAGTTTCCCTGATCATAGTAACTCTTTTGAACCCTCACACAATCCAGGGATCTGCATGCTGCTTCCAGTTCCCCTTCACAGAACACATGGTAATAGCGGTGGAAAACAGGGCTGAGTTCTTGTGATTCCTTGGAGCCAGCTGGAAACAACACTGTATCAATGCTTTCCCCTTTCTTCTTAGTGCCACCTTTCAGGTGCCAGGGAACCAGCAAATCTTGAGAGTGGAAGGAGGTTCGGTTAGTGTGAACAGGCAGCCTGGAGTCTGCTCCTGGCTGTGCATCACAGCCTTCGTCCTTCGAGTCACTAAGGAGTCGGTCAGAACATGCCGAGTCTTTGCTGCTATCAGGCATTTGATCAGTAAGTGGTCTCTGAGCCGTGCCAGTCTTGATTTCCTCCTCTTTCTCTTTACTACCATTCTTTTCCTTAAGGTATTTAGACTTCTGGCTTTTGTATTCTTGTTCCATTGCCCACACATAAATGAGTGCCAATCCACCAGGTCTTAGAAGCCGGGCTAGTTCACGGATAGTAGCCAGTCTCCTCTCCTATAAAGGAAAAGCAAAAGTGTGAAGCTAGTACACAAACAAAAACACAGGAGAACAGAATGGCAGCAATTCCTCCTTACTGTCCCCCCAAGTTATAACACAGTGCTGTGCTGAGCAGGACTTCCTGGACACATTAGCCCACGACACAGATCTCTTCAAGAAGATTGTTCAGTATCTAAAATCCTAGATTCAAATCTGCCATATCTGACTATACATACCCTAAGTTTGCAGCTGGAGTTAGATTTACAGCTTAAACACAGGTCCTCTGACCACTCCAACAAAGATACATCAGCTTTCTCCAAAATAGACTTCTCCCTACTCTTTTATATCAGGTTTGGAAACATTCGCTCCATTTCTGGTATAGAAAGAGCAGTGGGCCCCACCTAAAACTATGGCTTCATGGTCTAGAAGCTTGTTACAGTTGCACAGTTCCTGCCAGGAGAAGCTTACACAGCCCAGAGATACAGCAGACTGGAGAGCAGGGTCCCTGTCGTTTGCAGATGGACAATGAAGGCACAGATTAAAAAAACCCCATGAGATCTGCTCAAGATCTGAGCTGGGAAGTAACATATCTCTTGACTCCCAAAGCAGAGCCCACCGTCTCCAGTGTCATTAAGTGTAAGCAGACGAAAATGAAACAAACACCCAGATCAAAGTGCCAGGAGGAGCAAGGGCATCTGACAAGCAGAGGGAGAATGTGAAGAGAAAGTCTAAGAAGCAGCAGCAGCACAACAGCTTAATCCTGCTCGAACAACTGCTTACACCAAATGCAAACCTTTGATTTCTCCCCATTTTGTTCTTCTTGTTATGAGCCCAAACTAGCAGGTTTTTGTAGTATTAGCAGCTCTGCGCAGCAACACAACAGTAGAGCGGAGGACAGAGAGGGGTGACTTACTGCTGTTGAAAAATGGTGGATTACAGCAATAGAGATGCAGGCGTCACAAGAACCACTGCGGATTGGCACTGACAGGGCATCACAGACAAAAGCCTGGAAATTTTTTTCTCCACAAATATCCACCAGGTTTTTGCTGCGATCACAGCCAACCTATAACAGAAAGTGTTTCATTAAGCTTTTCATAAGAGGATAATTACAAGACTGGAAAACGATTTTCACTTGATGCTTACAGTAATAGAGTCATCACAGTCTCCTATTGAAGTAAGACATTTTCGTCTAAAATAAAAACAAGAGCAAGTGTGAGCAAATAGCCTTAAATAAGAGGAATATATGTCCCAGACAGACAAAAAGAAAAAAATCCTGATGCTTACTTAAAACAAAGATGGTAGATTGAATATCAGACAGCTGATTATAGCACCCTAACTTTGAACCAGCTTCAGACAGAACAGGTTTCAACCTAACTTTTCCTCAAAACTGGCCCTTAAGGTATCTTGAAACCAGCAAAACGAGAGGTGACCTAACCCCAGTATTTTCTTTGCCTTTCAACTGCCATTTGTAACTTGACAACATTTGAAGCAGCTAAATAACTGAACTCACAAAATCTGAACCTACAACTGTAAATGACAATTTGGTGACATTAGTGGCATCGCTGAAGTATGTCGCACAGCTTCACCAGTCACCCAGGTTTCGTCACTTCAGAATAAGTAAGGAAGTGCTCAGGTACAATCCTCTTCACCCTCAGTATCACAATCCACAATAATTTCAGCACAACATAGTTTTCCAGGGTTCTGCACAGTCCAAATGAGGTGACCCCTAGGTATCATTTCAGAACACCTCATAAAACATTTTTTTTTTTCCCCCTTTTGAACGTTGCCCAGTGTCCAGGTCAAAGATGGTAAGAAAAAGCATCTTGAAGATGTTTTTTTTTACATGCTTGCATAAAAACAATAAAACCAAACTGATCACGATCCTTCTGAAAGAAAGGATAGAGAGGCATGCACCACCCTCATTTTCATGTCTGCTGCGCACATTGAATACTCAAACCAAAGCCCTGCTACCAAGTCATATATCAAAGTCAGCTTGCATGAGAATATTAAATTTATTTTTGTTTTCAATGATCAACAACAAGTAGATAGAAGAGAACGGATTCAGAATCCTAATTAATTACTGCTGACAGTGTTTATTGAGTTTGACACAGAAAGAATATTAAACCATCCTTGATGCAAAAAGAATAGCAAACAACTTGCTCTGGTTAATCAACCCAGCAGAGACAACAGTGATGCTAAAATTAAAAATCTCTTTTGCAATGGTTAAAGAAAATACATTTATTTTCCACCATAACTTTTCATTTTATTGGTTCAAATTATCTTAGCTTTCAGTCTACCATCACGCTATTGAAGAAAACCAGGATTCTGTCCAGTCATATGCCCTGAAAGCTTCCAGGTGAGCTGCTTTCTAGTCAGGTCCCTGACTTCTGGTCCAAAGTAAATCAAACAGTTGTGAAACGCCAACCTGACAACCCAAAATAATCCTCCACAAAACCAGTACTATGAATATGTACATATTGTCCTGTCAATTAGCTCTAAACAGTCCTGAAAAGATCAATCGCAGCATTGCTTTCTTCCCATTTATTCCTTGGCCTCATCTCGGCATTTACTGAAGCACTGAGTGAATAGCGTTATTTATGAGTAAAAAAAGGAAACTCTAGTTTACTTGGAAGTAAATTCCCATCATTTCACACTGGAAGCCAACTGAAGTGTCTTCAAATTACTCTCATCATGGAATGGATTTAGCTAACAACCTGCGTGTTGATTCCACACCTCATTACCGTTGCCTTCAACTACTTTTGTGATTAAGACATTAGCATGCAGTATTTAACAAAACTCAAAGGACCAAATTCACTGCTGGCAGAAGGAGGGAGAAGAATACTCGCAACTTCCACTGACAACAAGCTTTCCCACAAAGAATTGCTTTGGCTCTGCGTGTCTGTAGTAAAAATAGGCTGGATAACAGAACTCAATCCTCCCCTTCAAAAATGACCTTGAAAAGGACTACGCTATATGTTGATGAAATCCAACGAACTGAGAAGGAGAACAAAGGCGTGACTGCCAGCAAGTGAAGTCCTCATTTGCATCTAAATTATATCAAATAATTACGACATCAGGCTGACTTGTATTGTCCTACTTATAAAAGGGAATCTACATCCAAAGCAAAAAGATTCTGGTTTGCAATGAAAATGGAGACCTTGAAATGGATCACTTTGAATGCACAGCTGCTCTAAAACAAGTATATTGGACTAAAACTTTACATGGTTTTAAATGTAAGCTATGTGCTATATATATATATATATATATACACGCATAAATGCCGAACACGGGAAGTCACCACAGATATGTCTGGTGCAGAAACTAAGCAAATTTAGCATCCTTAGTAGCATTATCTCTGCATGATATTTTAAAATAATCACCACATCCCTGCATTTGCTAACTTACAAGAAACATGCCTTCATCAAAAAGCAAAATACATTGGTTTCAGTCACAGAACCACAGAATGTTGGGGGTTGGAAGGGATCTCGAAAGATCATCTAGTCCAATCCCCCTGCCAGCGCAGGACCACGTAGAGTAGGTCACACAGGAAGACGTCCAGGCAGGTTTTGAATGTCTCCAGAGAAGGAGACTCCACAACCTCTCTGGGCAGCCTGTTCCAGTGCTCACTTAGAAAACACTAAGCTAGCAAAAAGCAGCTAGCTTCAGTGGTGCAATGACAGCTTACTGCTGGAAAAAGAGCCTATCTATGATTTTTATGAGTATAGAAAACATTTACAGCAAGGGGCAGAGTCCCCAAACTCATCTTTTCCCAATTCTGTTACTAACTAACTTCTACATTCTGAAGCACATGAAAGCTTTGATGTGATGAAGCTTCATTTACAGAAAACAGTTCAAAGGAATGTTTTAATTTAGAACAAGTTTGTTTTTCTCTCTCTAATTAAATACATAATTGAAACTTTTTTTTTTTAAAAAAAATCACAAAATATAACTAGAATGCTTTAATTTTTGCCAGTTCATATCTCTAATTTTGATGATCAGCACGGGATACTGTCCTTGCTGACATCTCTTCTAGAAGAGCGGAGAAAGGTAGATGAGTTACTATTAGTTCAGTGTCCAAAACCAACAGAATCTAGTACACCTTTTAGTGACTCAAGTTGTACAGCTCTTTAAGTTTCCCTTTTTCTTATTATCTGTGAGTCTTCTCAACCATTTCTTATACCTGTTTTCCAAATAAAATTCCTTGGTCAAACCCCCCAATTTCTCACATATATCTCAAATAGCATGGCTGACTATTCAGCTGAATCCACCTCTTCGCAAGTCCACCTCTCAGCAAGTTACTCTACATCTTTTTCCTCAAAGGAGGTTGGCTTCTCAAGTTTCTCAGATTTTATTCCAGGCAGACATTCCCACATCCCTCCCTTTTTCATAGGTACCTCCACCCCTCTCTCCACTGCTTTTTGTGATGCGGACAACAGCTCACAGGAGCTACAAAGCGACCACCTATGTACTGGGGCTCAGAATCCACTTACATTTTTAACAGGGACTTCAGGCCCTGATTTTCATTGCATCTGGATAAACACTAACTGCATCCAGCTCTTGCTTTAAACCAGGAAATCTGTATTAGTATGAAGGCCTGGCAACTAGAACCCCAGAAAACACAAAACTTAGGAAAGAGGCAAAAGCATGCCGGCATTCTGGCATACAGCACTCTCTCTTCAGGGCATGCTGGGTAACACAAACCTTTAGACTAATGGAAGTATCAAAAAAGACTAAGATAAAGAGGATAAGGGAAGGGAGTACAAATGTAACACCTGTAATCTGTCTGAATTTGCAGCAGGTCTGTACTGGCTTCCTGGGAACACGGTATCACAAGCAGATATCCCATGCCACTCCTTTGTGTTCCCAGGTACCTTCACCTCCACCATTTCAGAAGGAGTAGCTAAACAAAGTTTTATAAAACCTACTTAATGCAGTGGTTTGGAATAGATCATTAGGGGCAAAAGACACTAAATAATAGCTTGCTTTGTAATGGTGCTGCAAATCTGCAAGAGATAAATCCTCTTGCAAGCTTAAATAAAAACAAGTAAAGACAGGTCAATGTTGCCCACCATTATATATTTTCTTTCTACATTATCTCATTATAGCTAACTCTACCTGGTAGAATTAGTTCATTTAAGTATCTGGAAACCTGATTGATTCAGCACATTAGAAACTGATGAAGAAAACGACATCTAATTCTGAAATCCAGCCGCCAAATGGAATTATGTGGCTCCCTGGAGAAACACTTGAGCTATAACTAATAGCATGAGAGCCTCAAGGAACCAAATTACATTCAGCAAACACACACACACATAGAGAAAGAGACACCAGCACAGCCACAGCAAAACAGACAAATGTCCTTGCTCCAGTTGGTCTAAGTCAGGCCTTTAGCATTCCTTTCAGGTAGTGTTTTGGTTTTCCTTTGCACACAGCCAGGGTGTCTGTGGAAACAAAGTACAATGTCTAAAACATGAAGTTCATTTCTCAGCAACCAAATGCCAGAACCAAGTGGAGCAATTCAGTGTTCCTTCTGGTTTTGTGCTGCTGCTGCCTAGCTCCTTCTGAGCTCTCTTCCCAGACCTCCTATTGTTTTAATGACTTCTATTCATTCAGAGAAAAGTGCAGGAAAGGTTCCTCTGCCTCACCCTCCAATCACTAAGATACACTGAACTTGCTCCACATATAACTTCCCCAATTAGTTTTGTCCTTCCTGCTTTTAGCCACTACTACTAAGTCCTTCAGATAGGAATCTGTTCTCAATCAACACGGACGCAGCGCAATTAAAACCCACCCACCGTTATGCAACCATACTGCAGCAAATATTCATCCTCCCTCTTCCCCACACCCTAGCAAAATCAAACTTTTACACAGTCCCAGTGGATCCCAGTTTGGGACAGTAATGCAGAAAAGAGAGATACACGTCTCATAGCAAAAGGGTGTCTTACAAGGTCATGTGAAATACAAGCTACGTTACTGATTACCTTTGAATGACACGCACTACAGAAATAAGAATGTCTGTATTAAAGCAAACCATTTGGGCTTCTGCATTGCCATCATTTTTCT